ACAAATGAGAATCTACTGAATAAATGACGAATGATATCAGCAAATGTTTAAAATCTGCAGCAAAATAACTGAGATTATGGTAGTTGAATTCAAAACGGAACAAAGGAACACATAATAATTCATCTAAATTGAAGTTCACTTCAATATGTTCTATGGTCGAAAGTAATCAAGAGGAAACTTGAAACATTATTATTATTATTATTATTATTTGAATAAATTGACCATTGGGTAGATTGTTATAAATAAGTTAATATATTTGTAATATCCCAATGAGTAGAAAATCTAATTTTTCTACTCATTGGGATATTACAAATATACTACTTTTATTTATATTATCATTATTATTGTTAATGGCTTAATTCAATATTCTACTTTGGTACAATACAGAATTCTCAGCACAAAGTATTTCAACAAGTTTCCTTTTCCTATTTGTTAATCGGTCGTGACGATAAGTATTGAGTGATCGTCAATATAATGTTAGCAGTTCATCTTCTTATACAGAGAACCTCTCAGGTAGTTCTGTTCACTGAAGCATTTGATGTAAGAAGTCAACCTAAATAATTCTTGGAGATCTATAACGTATCATATCTATTCGGGCATATTTTGAAATTGAGATAATATTTACTAAAGATTAGTTTAATTTGAGATATTTTTGAAAGCCAGGAACGCTGGACAATTATTTCATTGAAGTATGAGACTTTTCAGCAGTATGCATCATTGACAGCGGATGGGACTAATTCCAAGATATTGAGGTCTTGAAGGGAATGCTTAGTCTCTCAAAGTATGAACAAGTGTTTTTTTGGTCATTCGCTATCGTATACTGCTGAGGCCTGATTATTAAGATTACCAATTGTCTGTCAATTCCATTTTGTGAAACGAATTGTAATCAAATCAGATTGAATCAGCAATTGTCCAGACTTGAGGTTACAAGCATTTGAAATTAACAATGAGAGTAAGACTTAAAATGGGATATAATGAGGAGTTTTAATATTTTACTTAGGAAGAAACCCATTTAAAAAAATAGGTCATATTTGTTGAGCAATCATTTAAGGTTTTTTCACCACACTTACAACTTATTTTACTCAGTTTGATCAACTTTCACTAACTACTATTAATTATTAAGTAATATAAAATTATTAACAAATATTTGACCGTCATCTGTAACCTAAAAGTAATGCTGAATCCACTACTACTAAAAAAGTTACAAATGTTGAGCATAAATATATATTGTTATCGAGAAAAACAGCTTCAAGAATAGAATTAAATTAAATATCTATACTTCATACAAATATTAGGGAATTCAGTAAGGATAAGTGTTTTATAGGATTATAAGAAGCTCCTGTAACAAGTGTGGACAGTATCAACTCTGAAACAACGAACTAGCCCCTGTATTTTAAAAAGCAATAAATTCATCTTAAAAGCAGGAAAACTGTGCTTAGTATCTCTTAGAAAAGAGCGGAATAGAAAAGAGTTAAGCATGACCATTAAACGAAAGATCAAATCGGAAAGTCTGATATTATCAGATTGGGAATTACAAGCGAATTAATTGAAAATGTAGATGGGAAGAAAAAATATTACGCAATCAAAGTGTCATTCCTTTAGGCAATGTAAATAATGTTTCAGAATAACAACGTGTGTTTGTTCAGCATCTTTTATTCTTCTAACATAATATGTTTCATCCTTTATTTTTCCTTAACCTTTACTTCTCATTAATTTCAATATATAATCTTTGAATTCAATCATTATAATGTTACATTTTCAACAATCTTCACTCAAACGCCACAATTAGATTTTTACTATTCTTGATATCCTTATCTATATCATGATTTTTTTTTACCTACTTATGGGTGCTGTTTCTTTTTTCCCAAAATCAATTACACAGTATCGAATGCTTTATTTCGAGTCACAATTTTTTGTCTAATTCATTAATTTTCAATTTTTATATTAATGAATTAGTATATAGTTACAAAGTAACAGATTTCGGGTAATTACAACAAAGCTGAATGTCAACTCATTATGAATGTTGTTAATATCCATAATTAGTAGTATAACAGTATGTTAATAACACCTCACTATTACGTAATCGGATAGGACTTATGACTTAGAAAAGGTGATAGAAAATTTATTGATCGTACCAATTCTGAACTAAAGTGCTACACATAGTACAACTAGGGGTTGTGTAATGTACACTACTCTTTGGTTTTCAATAGTTACATAACTGATACTATGACATAACTTAGAAAATATGCAAAATATATGAAATATAATCTATGAAATCATTTGAACAATGATAATAAACTTTTTATGTGTTTATGTTTGATCTCCCATTGTCAGTTAATGGTAGACTATATTGACTAACTTGAAATAGTATTAAATAGAAAGAAAGATAGCTTCCCAAAGTATTTCTTTATAGTCTAATGATCAGATAACTAGAAATATATTTTATTATCTTTGTCAGGTGATAATTCATATTATACAAATAGCATTTATTGTAGTTATAATGTGACAAAGGAGACAGTGACAAAATGGTTCCTTTTTAAACTATACAAACAATAAGATTAATTGACTGTTTTATTATTCTGAAATAATTCTTGTAATTACCTATACATAGTTACGTAAGAGGTTTTTTGAAAAGTTGACTTTTATTTTGATAAATGTTTAAAATGATTAATAAATAGTCACTTGTTCATAATGGTTTAAATGTTTGTATATTTCATCTGTTCATAGATAACATTACTATTTTAGGAAATAAAGCGAAAACTATCAAACAATTGAAACTTATTTTATTTATCTATGTACATACTATTAGCGTACGTACGTGAGACCGATAGGTCCTGGGTTCGAATCTCGCAAGGCAGGATCGTAGATGCTCACTGCCGAGGAGTTCCACAATAGGACAAAACGGTCATGCAGTCCTTCCACGTTTTCCATGGTTGTCTAGCTTCAATGACTCATGATCTTACCTATTACAATTACTATAATATCCACAAAAACCCCTTCTGATATTCATCAAGTTGTTATGTTTTATTGTATGATATTATTCCATTAATACATTATTATAATATATGAAGTATCATAAGGTATTTAACTGGACTATCAACTGACTTGTCAGTTAATTAAATGGTATATAATACATTTTATGAATGGAATATTATGAAGAATAATGGTTGTTGATAACAATGAACAAGAGATTCTATATAGTTTTGATCAAATATTATGAGATAAGTTAATATGGCTCAGTGCATTATTGTAGGAATGAAAGTTACGATTTGTAGAATATTCTTTGAGTTAACTAGAAAAATCTCAAGTGGATTATCTATTATTTCTTATTATACTGTTCATTCTATTCTCGTGATTATTTTTCTTTATCTTGTTTCTATGGTATGTGTTTCCCTTAGCTTTGTTATTTATAGACTATGACAATCTCATTTTCAATTTATTAGTCAGAATAATACACCTTCATTTTTTAACAGCCTATTTTCACTTTTTATCATATTTGATAAATTATTGTTTGTAATGTATTTCGAACGTTTTCGTTATACATCATCTATAAATTTGTACCTCCTAGTTAGGCATAAATAACACTAATGGTTAAATGCTACAGTCAGTAACGAATATATTATATTTCATGTCAAGTACTGGTGTAGTGAACAGAACACTGGTTGGGGACAATCGAATGTATTTAAGCAAAGATTACAGACTATCTCAGTAAATTCTGATAACCAAACAATGAACAGTCAATTTGCAAATTAACAACCAATTGTTTCAATCTTCACTGTTTCTTCTCTAATTCCATTGCTCATGCATTTTCCAAACGATTGCGCTTCATTTCAGTTCTTTCCTTATCGGTCTTCTGCGAAAATACATTCTAAGTCTGACCCACACCACATACTACTTATATAGATATAAGTAGACCACACCACACTGGTTTTAGCCAAACAATCAATGAAAACTAGGATGTACAAGATAGTTATTTTATGCTACAACGAGACCCTTTAACAGTGTCTACTCATGACTCAACTAAGAAGTGAATACAAGACCCAGTTGAGATAAACATTGAATATGCTCAAATGAAAAGTCATGTACTATGATGAAGTACCTGTTTGATGTTTTTTTTTAATTTTTATTAATTGTCCTACATAATTCGGTCTATGATAAAGCTCACAGAATGAATTGTCTACAGAAACCCATATCAACAATAAAAGTATTATCGAACATATGAAAGTCAAAATAACTGTCAACCAATAGCAGAATCTTCAATATGAAGGTCAAAACAGTTCTACTGCACGGAGATGAAACTTCGATAACTACGACAACCATCATGAAAAAGGTATGAGTATTTATAAACAATTGTATACAAAAGATACTCAATGTCCGTTGACCGAAAGCCATCAGCAACAGCCTTCTGTGGGAGAGGACAAACCAGCTTACAGCTGAAGAGGAAATTGGAAGAAGTTGGTGTACACCACCAGTGAAAACCTCAAAGCACAGAATGGCTGTTTCATCCTAGTATGAGATTCCTCAGCAATGCGACCCAGCACGCGGGATTTGAGCCCAGGACTTTCAGCCTTGTACACGAATGCTTAACTTGTAGACCACTGAGTCAGTATCTAACAGAGTCTCATACTAGGACAAAACGGCAATCCAATACTTTCAGGTTTTTCAGGGTGGTCTAGCTTAAATCGACTCATGGATTCATTTATTGAATGATTACAATTTTCACAAACTGTCATTTTGACAAAAATAAAAATGAAAACGAATAATTCAAAGAATATTATGCATATTTAATGAATTAGAAAATGAATATTTATCTAATTCATATGTATAAGAAGTTTTATAAGCAAAGATGGATAGTGACTAGAAGTGAAATCCAGGACTCGCGTTTCGTTCCATTTGAGGCTCGTCAACTTAATGTACCTGCATCTTAGAGGAATGCGCACAGTATGCACATATGCTAATAAGAGACTGACCAGTTACAGTCCTAAACACCAATGGGAAGATCCAAACAAACAATACTAAGTGAGCATAAGAAGTTTTGTATTAGAAATATCACTATAATAAAATCTATAAAGATATTTCCCATATGAGTTTGTTCATAAATTTATTTATATTTGTATAATAAAATAGGAAAAGAAACAAAAAAAGAAGAAAACTTATAAGTAGTAGGTTTTTTTAAACAAAATTATTTGGTTGATTTAAAATTCGAATTCTTGAATTATTTGATGAATTTCTATCAGAATGTGAACAATGATCATAGAGATTATTGAAAGAATTTCTTGAACTATATATAAGTGATTGTGATGGTAGACTTTGGGAATATTGTTCCATTTTACTAGATACATTCAATGTTCTAATTCTTACAATGTGATCTGATTCATTTAAACTAGATGTTGATTGATTTGATTCTTCATTATGTTTAATTTTATCTTTTCTTTCAGGAATAGGTGGAGTTTGAACAATATTCGATAGTTGCCTAATGCTACTGGTTACATTATGTGATGTTTGTGATTTTGCTGTTGTTGTTGTAGTGGTGGTAGTGGTGGTCGTCGTCATCATCTTTGATGTTTCTTGTATTCTCTTTATTCTATGTGTATACTTTGATGTAGTATTAACAAGTCGATAACGATCCCATATAAGACAAGCTATTTTTGATGCAATATATTGACCAACATTTAAGGCAATTAAACGCAATACAAATACACCATCTTGACCTAAAATATGTTCAGTAAAAAATGCTGATGCTTTTTTATCATTTATTGTTAATTGTTCATTATAACATTCAGAAGATAATGATTCAGCTAAAGGTATTGTTGTTGATTGTTGACTAGTCGACTGATAATCAGAATTTTGTGTTAGATTTGAATTAGTATTATTTGATGAATAGTCTGATTTATTATTATTATTTATATTCATTGAGATTTTATTGAATAATAGACTTCTGATAAAACATACTCGACTGGTTTGAAATGTGGACCTAAATGGAAACAAGATTTTTGAAAAACAAATCATGCAAAAGACAATCTGAACGAAATGGAGTTGAAACAAAGAATCGACAGCAAACTATAACTGAATAATATGTACATATTGTGGTCTACAACTTCATCGTAGTTCTGAATGTTAACTATGAATATCATTGAATGTGGAATATCAAGTTAATTTAAACGAAATAAACGTTCATGTTCTAGGACTAAAGGCATTGAACAAATGGATTGTGTTTTTGTTTCTTTGAATCAAACTTATTGTTTAAATTTATTCATTTCATTTTGTGTACTTTACCTTAATATGATCCGGTTTTCATTGTTGTCGACTTTCAATTATCTTAATTTTGTCCATTTAAATCTAATAAATTATTTTATATTACAAAATTGTATGATGTTTAAAGTGACTAACTTGTCTACATTATACGATGATACTTTGACTACGTTACAAATCATTTTCTCCAAGACGGACTAGATATTGAATAATAATCAGTGACATGTTTATCTAATTATTAGTACTAACCGAATCCTATAGATCAAATTAGAATAAGACCATTATTCTAAATGCCTAGATCAATTTGACAATGATTACTACTCAGTGACTAATCAGTGAACAATTTTGTTTATTCCTAAAGTATATATACATATATACAATCGGTTCATGATTTCAATTAAAACTCAAAAATCTGCACAATTCTATACTGATAATTACCATGTGCTCAATAGTGACTAGCTTAGAAAGGGAATTCTCAGAGTTCGAGTAAGAATCCGTGACCAGTAGAGCTCAATTTTATCAAATGTGAGGCGGTCACTCACCGAAGGCAATGGAGGCTGATCGAGTAATATCGTGGATTGATTGAAGGTATATATTGTTGGATCCATGCTCAGTGGTCTAGAGTTTAAGCGTTCGCACACGAAACCGAAGGTCCTAGTTTCGAGTCCTGTGTGCAGGCTAGTGGGTTCTCAATGCTGAGGAGACCCATAATAGGACGAAACGGCCGGCAAGTTATTCCATGTTTTCAATGGTGGTCTAACATTGATCCATTCATGATATCAATTTGAACCCAACTATTTCCACAACCCTATACTGACACTGAAAAATAGGAAATCCTTAAATCGTACGACTTGGCAGGTTGGTTTAGACGACTAAGAAGTTATTTGCCACTATCCAGTGTATTTATTGATGAACGAGTAGCAGTACAATCTACCCTTCGTTATTTAATACTAAGACTGTTCCTTATATATATATATATATATATTATAATTATATATATATAGCTGAATGTAGCTGAATGTTTATTGAAATCCAGTCTTTCTCTACCAGTGTGGACTAGTATTTATGTATCATACGATAAGAGTTCGCTTGAGCCAATAGTTCGACTAGCTAGTCAACATTCTCTAAAGTTTTAAATTTATTTAAGTGGGAATGGTTCTGATTGATTCATTAAAAAGTCAGAAACGAATTTTAAATTTTTATGCAGTAATTTTATAAGTGTGACTTCGACAAATGATGTTTAAGATTCATCTTACAATCAGAGTACAACAATCATTAAATCTAGGTTAGAAGTGTAAATTTAGTATGTAAAGTGTCATTTTTGTGTAAACCATATCCATTAATCCATCTAATAAATAGAAGAGTAATAGTTAAGTCATCAAAAACATGAATCAATATCGAATGAAGTAGGAGGATTCACATTTGATTTTGTAGCATGATACGTGGAAATTACAAACTCTTATTTAAGCAGTTGATCATATAGCAACAAGTGAAACCACACTTAAGTCGTAAAAACGACTAGTTCACAATAGTTGAATATATAATAATTCAAAGGGGGTTTTATGGAGATTTTAGTAATTTTATAGTTAAATTCATGAGTCAGCTGAAGCTAGACAATAAAACCGTTGGATGCCGGCTTAGTGGTTCAGAGGTCAAGCGTTCGCGCGCAAGACTGGTAGGTCTTGGGTTCGAGTCTCGCAAGGCGGGATCGTGAGTTCGCACTGCTTAGGAGTCCCACAATAGAAGCAATCGGCAGTCCAGTGCTTCCAGGTTTTCCATAGTGGTCTAGCTTCATTTGACTCATGTATTCAACTATATAGTGATTCAATTAATCAGGTAAACAAATGTAATCTATCAATTAGAAAGATATAGAAAAAAGGAGGAAATTTTGAAAATAAATAGGCTATAAATAGTAAATCTACTATGTATTTGTTTGCATACAAATAGTTTAGATTTAAAAAAATTGCTTACCGACAACACCAACGTAAAAAGCTGTGTATATTTAATAAACTTATACAAATAAGCCAGAACCAAAGAAAAATGAAAAATTTTTCATTAAACATATTAATACTTAATACACATTGTAATGTATATCGATGATATTTTTTTCCCATTTTCCTCATATCCAAATCACAAAATGTAACACGAGGAAAATTTCCACTTTGATACCATTGTGTACCAGCTATAAGATCAATTAACATTTGAGGTCCGAAAAATATTGTTGTTTGTCCCAAAAATCTGTTGGAATTTGAAAAAAAATCATTAATAATGATAACAGCAATAATAATAGTAATAGTTTCTCTTTTTCTCTTTTTAGTGTTAAGTACGTTGCGGGATACTATCGGCAACAGCGTTTTATGGGAGAGGATAAACCAGCTTCCATCGGAAGAGGAACTTAGGAAAAGACGTTGGAAGTGGATAAGACATACATTGAGGAAATCACCAAACTGCATGATGAGGCAAGCCCTAACATGGAATCCAGAAGGGAAGTGGAAAAGAGAAAGGTCAAAGAACACTTTACGCTGGGAAATAATAGCAGATAGGAAAGGAATGAATAACAACTGGAAAGAACTGGAAAGGATTGCTTGGGACAGGGTTGGATGGAGAATGCTAGTGGTTGGCCTATGCTCCTCGACGAGGGGTGTCAGACGCTCGTAGGTAGGTTAAGTACGTTGATATTTAGAGCTCAGTAGGTGAGTTTGTTCTTATGAGTCACTTGACCTAATCTTTCAATATTACTTACGTTTTTGACGTAACCATATATAGGATGAAGGAAATTTCTAACATGTAAACTTATTGAACCTATTGAACGTGTAATAACTATCATGACTCGGTAGGTTTGTGAATAACACGTTAACTCTTAAGGCAATGATTGCTCAATATAAAACTCAGAAGAGAAATCATCTGATAAGCCCAATTTATCTTAAATATCACAATAACACAATTTGTTGCTATGTTATTAAGAAAAAGAACATGCAGTGAATCATGAAGACAAGAGTGTGAGCTAAACAACAGATCATGAGTAAACAGTGATCAATGATGACAATTTATTATGTGTCATGTATATCACTTAGCCTGATTATATCATCACGAAGTAGTCTCGCTAGCGAACCAAACCATACAAGATATACAACAAATAATTCAAAGTTTATATCACATTCTAGTTAAACTAATAATCTTTCGATTAGCTTTTGAAGTAATTTTTAAATTATAACCCAATAAAATAAATAAACTGGTTTGGAAAACATTTTTTTCAATACAGAATTTCAATTTTTCTTCAGAGCTAATATCCTTATTACATTATTGACAAACCAGTTATTTCATTCAATAGCATAATTAAGACTGGTTCATTTCAATTAGGAATAGCGAATGTTGTAAAGTCAAATAAACATTAAAAAGATTAACTAACTATTTTGTAGTATCTCGGACAAATCACAAACCACTTTGAATAGTTGATGGATTTTTTTTCTATTACGTTGCCTGTAAATTATTTGACATTTTATTCAATGTACATATTAGGTAAAATTTATCTCAACGGATTCTCAACAAAACTGTAATAATTTTCAAATTCACTTAGTACTGGGTTCGAGCTCCAGAGTGAACATCAAATCTGAGATGCAGGTATATCCAATTGGCGAGTCCCAAATGGGACGAAACGCGCGTCCTGGATTCCACTGCTAGCCACTATCCATCTTTGCTTATAATGCTTGTGAATTAAGGCAATATCAAGGCAATCCGCACGGGATTCACATATGCCAATAACAGACTGAAGATACAAGTAAACAACATCACATGAATTTAAAACGTCACTCGATTGCACAAGCAATTGGCTAACGGGACACATTGGCTAAGAGGATAACGCGATGGTAATTGATGCGAATGGTATTGGGTTTGAGTCCCAGAGTGAACATCAACTCTGAGGTGCAGGTACATCTATCTGATAAAGGCGTCCTGGCTTCCACTTCTAATCACTGTCCATCTTTGCCTGTAATAATTTTTACTTATGCCAATAAGCTAATGACTTATTATGAAGATAAATTCATTCAATACTACGAAATATCTTATCATTAGTTAAACTAATCATTCCATTATTTCTGTTCTGTTTTTTTTTAATTATCTACAAACCATCTATCATTACAAAACGAATTTCATTCATCATGGTATTAAAAGGATCCATATCAAAATAGTTCAATTGAAATAATAACAAAACATATAATTCATTAAAGCATACCTAGCTAACAAAAATAATTGTCCAGTTGAATTAAAAACATAAAGTGCTTTAATAATTAAATATAAACCATTCAGATAACTGTTTGATTGTGGTGAACATGGTCGTGGACCAGGAATACGTGATCTATTCGTTATTGTAAGCGGTAGTATAGCATACCAGGAATTATCTAAAATAAAATAAAAATTATTTATAAGAAGAAAAATTCAAATAGACACATACCTTTATTTATGATTTGTTCATTTGTATTCACTGAACTAGATACAGATGTTTGTGCCATTGATATAGAACTGTTATTTTTACGACTTTGTTTATATCGATGTCGTATGATGAGTGCATCTTCTAAATGTTTAACAATGTATTCTAAATGATTTACACTAGAGTGTAATGTTTCTTCAAGATCACCAGCTTTACTAGCTAAGTCCATTACAGTCCAGAGCTAAATAAAATGTACAGATATAAAATTAAGATTAGTATACTATTGGTAAACATAATCTACAAGTTAGTTCAGTGAATATATAGTTAAACGATTATTTATAAGTGTCATAAGTTTTAGTCTACAAGGAAATGTTAATAAAAATATCTTGGTCAAACAATAAAGTTATTTTAATAAATAAATAATATATTTGTAATATCCAGACACTATCAGCAACATTCTACTGTAGGAGAGAACAAACAAGATTCCAGCAGAGGAAGAAATCAGGAAGAAGCGCTGGAAGTGGATTGGGCACACATTGAGGAAATCACCTAATTGCGTCACAAGACAAGCCCTCACGTGGAATCCTGAAGGCCAAAGGAGAAGAGGAAGACCGAAGAACACATTACATCGAGAATTGGAGACGGACATGAGAAGAATGAACAAAAATTGGATAGAACTAGAAAGGAAGGCCTAGAACATAGTGTGTTGGAGGATGCTGGTCAGCGGCCTATGCTCCATTTGGAGTAACAGGCGTAAGTAAGTATATTTGTAATATCCTAATGAGTACAAAAATAAGATTTTCTGACGTTTCATGACTCAGTGTAAGCCACTTCTTCAGTTATTTATTCTTTGAAGAAGTGGAATTTATCGTAATACCAATTGTAAAAACCTAAGCGGTTCAGAAAAACTGGATAAAACTGAACTAATTATGGATTTATACTAGAACTCAATTCGTAGGGTGCCATGGAATTAGTCAGTTGGCTGATCTGCTAAAGATTCTAATCAATATCACATAAAGTCTTCAGCCAACTTATATGTACATCCTAATATTTAGTCAGACAGTCATTAAGGTCATAGACCAATCCGTCATCGCCTGCTTTCAATTCACTCTTAAGCTGTTATTACAGTTCATGATAGATGGTACTGTAATCAGCGTTTATAAAGCATGCCCCAGTCACTTTAGTCAATAAAGAGTAACGGTTTCACCGACTGATCCACCAACTTTGGCCAATAACATATATTTAGTCTTACCGTTACTAGCTTACCAGATACTAAACGATCAATGAAGAGTGAACAGAAAAGGCATAGAATGAGCAATAAGTTCTCACTTCTGTTAGTCATATGATTATTCACTTTTTGTCTATGTGAAATTCCTAAAACAAATTATTTCTGTACCATGACCGGTATTTACTAAGCAAAATTTGTTTTATAAAGTATGTTAATCAATTTATATCATATCACTTCATTCATTCTTGTTATATTCCGTGGAGATTTATGAATGGTAACTTTGAGAACTTCTTATAGACCAATATGGTATGTACATATCTTATTGTATAATTGTTATGTAACTTAACTATTCATATTAGTGTCCCTCTCATTATAAGCTTAATTTTGACCCATAGACTATTATTATACGATTTACCATTCTTGAGTTATACCCAGTCCATTAATTACCGTTCCCACTACTCACAGCCACATTTGGCCAAATCTTGTACAAATGTTATTTTCTATTTTATGGTACGATATGGCCAGTTTGTTTGGAATATAAACCCAGTATGTTTGAGAATAATGATTCATATTGCAGAGGCTGTTATTGGTGTTCTCGATTTAACTGGCTGGGCTAGGCAGAAAGCAGGACCGAGTAGTGCACAAGACTGCTCATACGTTTTTGTGTATCATTAATCTAATCGATAATTCACTCCTCTCTAATTGGCGGTCTCATAACGTCATAGAGAATAAAAGGGCATACACTCAATCGATATAACAATTCTGAAGTATTACAATGTTACTCCAACAAATCTGTTCAACGTTTCGTCGAATAGGTTAACTCTGAGTTATTTAGTTTTTATGACGATCATACGAATTCATAATGGAATGATCAAAATAGGAAATTATCATTATCGATCATTAAATTGTAACCTATTTGATGGACATAGGAAATTTAGCTAATATACGCTTCGATAAACAGTCGTATAGATTAATATCTAATATTTATTTATTCATACTGAACATACAAAAAGGTAGTGTTTTTCAGCTTGTTCTTCAAGGTTATGAAAGAAAAATAAATCATAGAGGAAGGGAAACTAAATTCAATATTAAGCAGAGATGGATTAAGGTATATCGAGGCAATACGCACAGTATGCACATATGCCAATTAGAGACTGACCAGTTGCAGTCCTAAACACATCGATGGGAAGATCCAAACAAACAATACTAAGTGAATTCTAAATTCAATATTGTTGAAAACGATCATCTATTTTTTTCTAAAATGCTAGATATATGTTCAGATAACATAAGAGTAAAGAATTATAGAAAATTAGGAGCTTGAACGAATTTATCCATTTTACATAAGTTATTTCATCTGTATCATGGATATTAGTTTTTTCTAAGTGTTTTAGTAAATTATTCTTTCATAGTTGAATTCATGAGTTGATTCAAGCTAGACCACCAGTGAAAATCTGGTAGCTCTGGACGGCCATTTCATCCTGGTAAAGAGCTCTTCAGCAAAGCACACCTACGATCCCGTTCGCGGAAATCGAAAACAGGACCTTCGGTCTCGCACGAGAATGTTTAAACTCTAGACCACTGAGCCGGTATTCAACGGTGTTTATGTTTAACTTCAACCAATCCACTGCTAAGGAGTCTCGTACTAGGACGAAATGGCCGTCCAGTGCTTCCAGGTTTTGAATGGTAGTCTAGCTTAAATCAACTCATTAATTCAATTATTAAATTATTATAATCTTCACAAACTCCATTCCGATAATTATCCTTTCGTAGTTAAAAACTAAATTATACATTGGTATCAACACTAAGGATGAACTTGATAGTTTCAAATAAATTGAACATTGGGTAGAAGGTTAATAATAAATATAATTTGATCTTGACATATTCAGATCTATTATGAATTTGATTGCATCAAAAATATTCTGCATTGTTTGCCTTGTGTATTATTTATTTACTCTGAAGAAGGGGCTTACATTAAGTCTGGAAACGTCAGAAATACGACTTTTTCTACTCATTTTAGGACATAACAAAAATATATTTATTATTAAATTATACATAATTTTATGGTGGTACAATAACTAAATAAACCTTTTACGTATCCTTTCTTTAATCACATAGTTTATATATGTGTTTAAATATTAATGTTACTATCAAATATTCAAACCAAAGTAGTTAGGATGAAAGTCAAAAATACAATCCAGTGACAGAGGTTCATACTTTTAAAGCATAGATATACCTGAACAACAGTACCCATATAAATCATCATATAATGGAACGATACATTTTTTATAGAGGCAAATGACAAAAACAAGCTGTTTAGACCTTAGTAACTAAATCACGGTTGAAACTAGGATTAAAAACCTAGTGATTACTTATGAATTCATCACACTACTACGGTAGAGTTAAAGAGGCATAATGAATCTATGATTATAATCAGTTTATTGTATCTTTACGTAACCGTTTAAAAACGTCATACACGAAAACAATTAGAATCAAATCTTGAAAATGAAGTATACGTCTATGATTAACCAAATTTTATTTTTATTTTTTTAGCTTCAACAATTTAGTTTGGTTGTAAACACAGAGAGAATAGAGTTATTGAATATTGTATGGGGTTGATTTATCCAAATTGATTGAATGTGTAAACATTTCATGTTGAAAATAACTATTTGAGGAAATATGTAACGGATTCGAAACCTTACTCTATCACCTTCTAGTTTCGAATATCAGATCGCCTGAATCTCACACTTGTACTATTTCTGACTGTAGTCAATTACTTTTATTACTAGATTTAAGTATATTCTATGTGTTTACTGAGTCGTCAGTTCACTTTTTACTCTTGGTCCTTTCCCTTCCGCATTCTCTCACATACTGCCCCTCACATTTCCCTCCAGCACATAAAGTACATTCAGGCTAAACGCAGACTTTTCCAAGGATGAACGTTATCAAAAGTGTAACAGTAACCCACTAGTTAAATTTGATGAAGCTTGTAACATATCACGACAATGATTTAAAAAAAAAATACTAATGGTTATTTTAAATAGTAACAAACTTCAACGACAATATACAAATGTTCAATAATTAGTTAATAAACTAACCAACTATAGAAACTATACTAATTTACAACATTCATCTTAGACATATTCATATTGTATATTTAGAATTTCTGTTTAGTTTAGTTTATATCTATAATGAAACTGGTTTATAGTCTCTCAGCTTTAAATTATCAAAACTATTTTATTCAAAGTAATTAAATGATCAGAAAACTAATAACAATAACAATATAAATAGACTTTAGTGAACAAGAACACGGGTGAGGACAATCAAATGTACGTAAGCACAAATTACAGACTCTCACTAAAACCTGATAACCATACAGTAGGTCCTGGGTTCGAATCTCGCGAGGCGAGGTCGTGGGTGCGCAATGCTGAGGAGTCCCACAATAAGACGAAACGGCCGTCCAGTGCTTCCAGGTTTTCCATGGTGATCTAGCTTCAATTGACTCATGCTTTCAACTATGAAAATACACTGAACAGTTAATTTACAAAATAACAATCAATTGTTTCAATCTTAACTGTTCCTTTTGTAAATATCAGTCCGTCTTCTTTGATTTCATTGTTCATGCATTTTCATACCGATTGCGCTTCATTCTTGTCTTTTCCTTATCGATCTTCTGCCAAAATACATTCTATGTCTGACCATCACCATATACTACTTATGTGGATATAAGTATCCCACACCACATACAAATTTGTTTTACATGATATTTTGTTTGTTTGAATCTTCTGAATAATATGTAGGACTGCAATTGATCAGTTTCTTGTTGGCATATAAGCATACTGTACGGACTGTCTCGATATTGCCTCAAGTCACAGACTGGGAAGTTTCAAACAAACAAAAGAAAATGAATTTAAACTTCACTCCATTGCACGAGTTAACGGTTATCAGGACTCAGTAGATAAGTGGATAACGCGATGACATTCCAAGAGAATGTTACTGGGTCCGAGTGCCGGAAT